TTCTTTTCTTGCACTCTCACAGACAGAACTTGAAAGAAAAAGAAGAAAAGTCACAAAAGAAGTGGGGGGGGGGGGGAAGGAAACATTGTTATGACCGCGAAATGAAGTTGTATACATTCTTGGGTGTGGTAGTGTTAGGGCTGTCTCTTATACACATCTAGATGTGTATAAGAGACAGGTGGTAGTGTTAGTGTGCTCTCGTTGAGGGTGTCTAAGTTCCGTGGCCAGTTTGTCAGATTCGAGAGAGAAGAAAGGAAAAAGAAGAGGCAGCACAGATTCGGCCGTGAAAATTGGCTGGATGGTGCCAGTGTGATCACGGTAACAATCCTGTAAGGAAACACAGCTTGAGCAGATCATGCAGTACACCCTGCCTCGCTGGCAGGGGACCCACGAGAATATGGAAAGAATGAGAAAAAAGAAAACAACAACATCCACAATCTGATCGTTTTAGGTGTAAGTTTCATTCTTTGAAGGAGCACTGTGAGCACGGCCTCCTAGATTTTGCCTTTCACGTGTGGGCAGTATAAAACTAAATTTTATTCTTCTTGCTAGGCCTCTGGAACCTCCGAACTCTTCGGGTACTAGTGGTTTAAGAGCTGAAAAGTGCGTTTCTTGCATTGCTGGCATGGCTTAGGGAGCTTGGCCCCTTGTACTCTGGAAAGGAGCCGTCTGCAATCCTGCCCATAAGTATGCAGCCTCAGGACAGGTCAGTAGGCAGTGTGACATTGTCTGGGGGTGGACCTTCATGCGTTGCACACATAATGCATTTGAGGGGTCCTTATGTTCCTGAATCCAGCACTCGTATAGCCATGCGTTCATAGTGCGACATGACAGATCAACCATTGCATACTCTTAACCGTACGTAGTCGTATAGTGTGAACTTGGGACAGGGGAAGTGGGGTTATTGCGACCGAGTCAACCCTATTTTTGATCCTCCCATCATTTAGCTAAGGGTGCTGCGTGAGGATAGTGTTTTCTGAGTTGGTAGCCAAGTCTAGTTGTATAATGGAGTATGTTAAATTGTTAACGCTAAGGGTGCAGTTTGGATGCCTTTAATGTGGCTCCTCTGAGGTTCGATGCCTACTCAACATGATCAATTTCTCAATCCTCCACCGGAATTGTTGGGATATAGATGCTGTAGTCCTCCGTCTCTATCACCTGCACCTTGCGAACCGCATGCAAATGAATTGTAACAGGGGTGCAGGTTGTTTTGTCCAGGGGACTGTTGGTGGATCCGGGGTTCTCTATTTTATACGTATCCATGCTCAGCGTCTCCCTCCCAGGGCCGACCTGACCACAGACCGGAAGGCTTCCGTTGTTATCTCCTCGTGCTGCCATGTGGCTCTTTCCCCACGGACCCAATGGGGGCCTCTTTCCAGAAGTCGTCTCCAATCCGCTGGGATAGATATGATTCTCCAGTAGTCTGTGATTCCCTTTCATTTGAGCTCAAAGGTCGCGTGTTGTGATCCATTGCTACTTTTCGTCCGGCGAGAGATGCTTGATCTGCCACACACTGTGCTCTACCCAGGTGCCCCATTGCATCTTTAGCTGTGACAGTGCATGGATTGCCTTGGGCATCCTTGATCCACGGATTGTAGAAGAGGGGCTGTCAGAGCACCTCCTCTCTGGCACAGGGCCCTTTTACCCTGGTCCCAGAGTTTGAGAACCTGTGTCCAGTACGAGCCGAGTAGCAGACACTTCTATTTTCGGTTTTAGGCACTTGTGAGTCGACGTTCAACATAAAGTGAGGAGAGTGGAGGGTTATGGAGAGGAACATGATGCAGGAGACACGGCAGGAGGAGAATTTGTATTAGAAGACGTGACAGATTGGGAAAATGGGTGCCTGTTTGTCTTAGTGTTTCCATCTTTCAAGGCGCTGGTATTTTGGTCTCAGTTCTGCGCTAAATTTGCCCAGGTAAATAGGAGGACGTGACTGCGATCGTGTTTTCAGTCAGCAGTAATATGGTGTGCACGGTGGCTTGCCTGCATCGCAACCCAAAAGAAAGAGAGGTACTGATAATGTAATTGGACACGTAACCTTTAGGGCTGGGTCCCACCTATGTTGATTCTTCTTTTCTGAACGTCCAGTGCCAAATGTAATGGTCGGAGGCAAAGAATGCTTATAAGTGGGCCATGAGGCAAATTTTGACAGCAGTCAATGCTCTCAATCAGGTGCAAATGATACCGCCAATCTTTCTTCCGTGAGCAAAAATTCCAACTGTTGTCCCAAAGTGTTTTTTGCCAATGCTCTCATTCAGGTGCGAATGATACCGCCAATGCTAATTACTTTTCCTACTGGTATATAAATGCATATTCGAAGATTTGCCATCTTGATCGCCTACCAGTGGGAAGAGTTGTTGATCAACCTATTTGCAAATTTCCATAATGCGAACGTGTGTGTCGGATATCCCACTCCAGGATGCAACCTACCCGAACTGAGCTCCCCCATCAGTTCCAAGGAAGGAAATCACATTCCATCAATCTGATGAGTAAGCATCCCTAATCTGTTAAGTGCACTCATAATTACTGCATGTCGATTAGAATAGGACTATTAATCTGGGAGGGTAGGGTGCCTCAATCATTCATCTCGTCATATCTATTCTTTGTTTTTGTGCTTATACCGTACGGGCACTTTTTTGTCTCCATGCTTAATCTTCACTTGGCTTCCTAACAAGTCCCCCTTCCCTTCTCCCTCATCTGTCCTTTTCAGAGTCAGGGCGAGTCATTCATTCCCTCAGTTTCTTTGTGATCCCCTTCCTTTTTCTTCAGTAGACCAACCTTTCCAGACAACGATAGACAGATCATCCTTACACGTAATCAACTCGCAGTCGCTTACCTGTTCTTGCAGAAACTTTCACTCAGATCCAAGACATAGAACGCCTGCCGACTGTGGGCTGCTACTCTTGCCCATCAGGATACCAACTGGCAGAATTTTTATAGCTTCCTGCTGCTGTGAACAAGGTATTCCCAATTGCAAACTCAAGGCATATTCAAAGCTCTGCCATCTTGATCGCCTACCAGTCATAGAGCCCCTTCCCTCTCCTCTCAATATGCACCACCTCGTTACTTTTCTTACGAAATTCTTCAATCAACTATGATACCACCTGCAGGATGGATGAGTTGGGGGGGTTAATTAACGTTTCGTTTGTATTCAATGCCGCTTCCTTTGTTAGCATGGACGTGAAAACAACATGCAGTTCAGCACTCTTGCCACCATTTTGCCTCCTATCTTGTTGCGTTCAGAAAATGATGGACTAATCGACCTAAGCCGAGAAACTCCCTCGTTCTTTGGTAATTCGTAGGTGTGCCCCCATTTCTCTTTGGATTCCACTTACCAGAGTTCCGTCCCTCGAACTTTCTCTCACGTCTTTCAATATTTGCACGACTCGCCTTCCGCATATACAGCTTGACGGCAAATGAAAGTCTCAGATGGATCATGATCCGGGGGTGTAGAGGCCATGTCCGGGATTTCCTCCTTTACAGCTTTCACATAACTTCCAGCAATCGCTTCACATCCATTTTGTCTACACCACACCTCCATAGGCGATATAAAGAATGATGATTCAAATCTAAGCAAAGAGTTGTTAATCTCCTCGTGGTATCCTGGATCGGATACGTCTGTTCTGTCAGAATGATGTTCTCCTAGCAGGAAACCAAAGCTGCAATGAAATTGAACTCAAATATGGGTGGTTTAATTCAATATTTGGTTTGGAATAGCTGATTAGAACTAGTAGGATTTTCAGATTCTTTCAGAGATTATATTCAGAGAGGATGTTGCGTTGTGCCTGCCTTGCCATGTCTGGTCTGGAATCCCTCCTACACCACGGGTTCATGAACTCGTTCAGACATCTCCGAAGGACTTCGGCGTGGGAATGCTTGAGATAGTGTGGCAGACTTGGAGTGAACTGCCCTGCAATCGAGATTTGGAACCTGGGCGACCGTTTCGCTTGATCACCGTGGGTAGTTTTCGTATCTGGTTAGTTTCCTTTGACTGGCTTGAAAAACGAATCTGCCGGGGTATGCAGCTGCATCATTCGAGTTTGGGTACTGGCCCAAAGTGGCACCAAATTGAGGTGCCCGCTGGTTCGTTTTTTTGGGGCGTGCAGGGTGATTTTAGGGTCGGGATCAATAGCTGGGAAAGGTACAGGTGGTTTAAACAGGTGGTTTAAGTACAGATTCGAACGCGAAGGCGAGTGAGGCACGTTAGCAGCATTCTCGAAACGAAGAGAATGCTCTCTCTTGCACAAAATCTGCCATCCCTTTCTTACAGTGTTTGGGCGTGATTAGCAAGCATTAGTCTTTTTAGGTACCCTGGGCTGCTAAGGGGTTGTTGCATTGACTGCGGCAAGTCTGGGTTGGTATGGATAATTTGGGTGGTTGAATAGGAGGGGGTCTGAGCAATTGGAAGCTGTGGAAATTTACGTGCAGCGGGCTTTTTCTCTTGGCAACATTACCCCCTGTGTACAGTGGTTAATCAAAGAATGGCGGGCCGGGGGGCTGGAAAGGGGGCGTAGAGTGGGCCAATGTAAATCCAGGTTGCTGTGGATAAGCTCGGTAGCGGAGTACGAATGGGTCTGAGCAGTTAGAAGCAGTCGAAATTTGTCTGCAGCAGACATTTCTCTTGTCATATATCCCCGTGGTGCACAGTGATACATCAAAGTGTGGGTAAAGGAGACGGCAGTGCAAGTTTTTGGCAATGTATATGTTATTAAGCAGAGAAGGACACGACTAAGCAAAAAGGTAGGACTGGGGAGATCCCCTGTCTTTAAGGAGCTGTAGGGGAAGTATTGGGAGAATATGGGTTGGGGGTTTCTTCTTCTCAGCAAAACAACAGTAATTGACTTGGGCCAGTGTGATTTACTCTCTGCACGGATGCTTTGGACAGAATGTAGGTGAATCTCCCTCATGGTCTGTGGCTTCTCCTATCGATCCATAGTGTTTGGGTTTGGATTACTCATCAAATATAAGGTTCATCTGTGTCTGACTTCCTTGTGTTACAGGTTGCTGAGGAGTACAAGCTCATGTCAGATACCCTCTATCTGACAATATCATACGTTGATCGGTATCTGACATCCAACATTGTACCACGGAGCCGATTGCAGTTGCTTGGAGTTGCCTGTATGCTGATAGCTGCGTAAGTTGGGTGCATTTGACCCATCCAATGGGCTGCTCTAGCGGTGTGCGTGTGGGCATAGTTTTTAAATTTGTCTTTAATCGGCCTTTTGGCTAAGATCAAATGTAGTATCTGTTCTGATCAGTTTAATATCTGATGGTCCATCGGGCCGCATTTGAAAAAAAAATAAAAAGAATGTAAGCTACTAAGCTTATCAAACCAGAAAGCACATTTGTGCACAAAATACATGTCTGAGGTGCAGCCTATGTTGATCAATGGGCATCGCCCCACTACTCTCCACATGCACAGACGACAAAAATCGTGGCTGCGCATCTTTCAATGTTCTAGCCGAAGATTCACTCTCATTTTGCACATTTGGAGAGTAGTGGAGCGAGGCCCAGTATCTGACTGACACCCAATACTCTACTACCATGGAGCTGCTGGAGTTGCTTGGAGTGGCCTGTATGGTTGTAGCTGGGTAAGTTGTGTGCATTTAATTCTGCTTCCTGTTTTGGTTTTAAATGGGATGTTATTAATCGTTTGAGTTCTTTACGCATGCTCCGTTGGTCTACAAATTACACGTGTGAGTTACGCCGCCTGTTCCACATGGTGTATTGTTGCACATACCAAAAACTGGAAGAAGATTTTGAGAAACTCTGGACAAAAGTATGTGGTATTAAAAAGTTATTTCAAGCAGTGCTTGGTGACTTGGACGGCCCAATGTTGAAAAACTTCCTGAACTTTTGAAATACAGACCAGAGTTGGAACTCCATGGGAAGCAGACGAGTAAAATACTAAAATTCTGAATGATCGAGGACCGGCCAGTTCGATGATCATATCTCAAGGCCACTGGCTTTTTCAAAATGAGGGGGGGAAAAGGGAAAGAGAAGGGGAAAGAATGCTTGCAAAACGTTTTCAGGTACCTTCTTAATTTCTTTTTCACCTTTTATACGCATAGTTGCATTGCATGCACGTGCAGCACACCCTTTTGGTATGTTGTGTGCACATCACGATGTTTAGAACAAGACTTTCTCACAGTTCTCAAGAGCGAACTTATAATACCGAAAGCTAGTGATTCTGTTTTCTTTTTGGAAATTTGGATGCGTATACCAACGAAGCTAACAATTGTCGTTTATTTAATTGCTACAGAGCACCACACAAAGTTCTGAAGAAGGAATTTGTAAAACCGATATCTGTGCAAGTAACTGTGAAAGATATTGGATGACAGACAGCATGGTCATTTCTGTAGAAGATGTAGGAAGCATTTGACTGGCGAGAGGTGGTTGGTAATGCTTCATCGGTTCTCCCAACTTGTATGTGTCAGGATTTCTTATACTTCTTATTAAAGTCTCTGAACAATTGGACCATTTCATCTTGATGCCAGTTCTTGTTTGCTATCAATAGTGTATTCAACTAGGCTGGGCCGGCGCCTGGCCGGGCGGACCCCGGCCGGTTGGGCCTGGGGGATCCGCCCGGCTGAACTCAGAGTGGGATGCTGGGGGAGGGATGTCAGCGGGGGGTCTCGGGGGGGGGGGGGGTTGTGCTGCGCTGCACTAGAGGACCCCAAATCTGCAATAAAAAGTGAACTTGGGGGGTTGGGGGGGAGGGGGGGCTGGGGGATGCCGTGGGAAGCGGGGGGGGGGGGGGGGGGGGGGGCGTCTAAGGGATGTCAGTGGTGATGTCACAGACCTTGCAGGTGTGTCTGTGGAAGAAGAAGAAGAACAGGAGGAGGAGAATAGGAAGAAGACGAAGAAGAAGAAGAAGAAGAAGAAGAAGAAGGTGGGATTAAGAAGGAGAAGATGATGATGATGATGATTGGCGGTGGAGGATGGCGGGCAGGGGATTTGAGGACCGATGGCGCGCACGAGGCAGGTAAAAAAATAAAAATAAAAAAAATGAAACGGAAGTGGTGGTCGCTGATGGTGGCCAGGGGGGGCAAGAAGAAGAAGAAGAAGGAGAAGATGATGATGATGATGATTGGCGGTGGAGAATGGCGGGCAGGGGATAAGGAACAACGGCGGCAGAGGATGGCAGGCAGGGGATGAGAAACACGCGCGCGCACGAGGAAGAAAAAAAAAAAAATGGAACTGGTGGTCGCCAATGGCGGGCAGGGGGGGCAAGAAGAAGAAGAAGAAGAAGAAGAAGAAGAAGAAGAAGAGGACGAGGAGGAGGAGAAGAGGAAGAAGAAGAAGAAGAAGAAGAAGAAGGAGAGGAAGAACAAGAGGAGGAGAAGAGGATGAGGAGAAGAGGACGAGGAGGAAGAGGAGGAGGAAGAGGAGGAGAAGAGGAAGAGGAGGAAGAGGAGAAGGAAGAAGAAGCGGAGGAGGAGGAGGAGAAGAGGAAGAGGAGGAGAAGAGGAAGAGGAGGAGGAGGAAGAAGAAGAAGAAGAAGAGAAGAAGAAGAAGAAGAAGAAGAAGAGGAAGAAGAAGAAGCGAAGGAGGAGAAGAAGAAGAAGAAGAAGAAGAAGAAGAAGAAGAAGAAGAAGAAGCGAAGGAGGAGGAGAAGAAGAAGAAGAAGAAGAAGAAGAAGAAGAGAAGAAGAAGAAGCGAAGGAGGAGAGGACGAAGAGGAAGAGGAAGAGCAACAAGAACAAGAAGAAGAAGCAGCAGCAGCAGCAGCAGAAGAAGAAGAAGAAGCGAAGGAGGAGAAGAAGAAGAAGAAGAAGAAGAAGAAGAAGAAGCGGAGGAGTAGAAGAAGAAGAAGATCTCTCTCTCTCTCTCTCTCTCTCTCTCTCGTACTAACACACTCACCGTAGCGTGCGTTGGGGGGCGTCGGGGGGCAGCGCGATGGCGTTCTCCGCCGGGCGTCGGGGGGGCGTCGACGGCGTTGGCGGGCGCGGGCTTGTACGGCGACGACGAGTACACCCGTCGGCCGAAGTGAGGCGTAGGGTCGGGCACAACGAAGAACAACGCGGGAAAGTAGACTCAGTATACAAGAAAAAAGGGCCGCTGGGCACGATTTGAACGAATTCAAATTGCGGCCCATCTGGGCCGTCGAACCTGGAGATCGGCGGCGCAGATGGGCCCCAATTTGAATTCGTTCAAATCGGGCCTACCGGTCCTGTTTCTGTTTTTTTTTTTTCATCCACGGCCTCCTTTGCGGGGAAGAAGGCCCCGCGCGACGGAAAAAAAAAACAAAAAAAAACCTCTACGATGCGCTGGGGTCGCCCGGTGGCCAACCGGACAGACGGCCCTCCCCTCCCCCCGGGCGACGAGCCGGCGGCCGGGCAGCCCGGGGTTCAGCCTAGGTATTCAATGGGTGTGCAGGGAGACCTACTTGTGACAGTAGAATCAGTGTGGACACAGAGGTTTCCTTAATCCCTGCAGTGGTCCTACCAGATTCCTTAAACCATGAGTACCTCCCAGTGCTCTGCCTGTCAACCAGCAAGCTGATGATACCAGTGAATTGTACGGTGCCCTGCAAAAATAAATGTTTTTGCCGGACCACAAAATTCGCCAGTACTGACAATGTGGTGGTTATAACAGGCGCATTAGCAAAGGTACTGGTGACCTAATACCGTTGGTAATGTAATAGAGCTCGTAGACCTTACTGTCTATTCTGTGCAGGCGCATTTTGGCAGGCCTTGTCTGGGGCAGACCATGAGCGTCCAAAGGCACGGTGATGGGTATGTCGAGGTGTGTCAGGGGGTGCAGGGGAGGTTGGGTGGGAAGTTTCTGTGAGGGGGGGTGGTAACCGCGTTCTGCGCAGTTTTTTTTCATGATTACGTACATCAACAGGCGCAGTCATCGACTTTCATGATTATGTACATGTAACGGGAATCTGTATCTTGCTGTTGAGAATGGGAGGATTGAGTGTGTGTGGTTTGTCCTTAGACCCTGTCAGTAAGCTGAGTATTTGTGAGGGTGTGGACTAAGGGGTGATGCTGTTCACGGTCAGAGTTGTGAAGGAAGGTGTCTAGGAAAATGTGTTGTGCATGCGGTCGTGGTTGGAGTTGTCAGGGATGGAGTTTGGGAAAATCAATGTGTTGTGTGTGCGGTAAGAGGGGTGGAAGCACCAGTCCCAGCCCCCTTCCTCGCGTAACGAACTTGTCCTTGAGGTACTGTTCACAAAGCCTCAGCCTGCCTGACCCGAGAGTGGTACCCAGGCTGGTGTGCAGAATTCTGTATACCTAAACTTCTCGGTCGATTTTTAGGTCGCATTCCCAGCGACCATAAAAGAACTGGGGTTACAGAGAGGAGAATTAGTCAGGGTTTTAAGCCTCCACGACCTTGGAGTCTCTCTTTCTCATGGGCGCCATGTCCAAAACAAACTGGTGGGCAGCTCTTTCGTTTTCTTTTTGCCCGGCGCCGTCAATGAAGAAGGTTCAGGGGGCCGAGGCCCTGCAGAATGCAGCGGTAGATGCAAAATTTGCCTGGAGAGGTAGCAGTTGTTTAATGGACAGTTTTCAGTGAATAAGGTTCCGGGGGACAGGCCCCTATTTAGTGTTATCAAAGTGAAGGTTGTTGGGTCCCCTTTATTGTTCCATCCCATTTCCTTTTGGCAATTTGGAAGGGGTACAATTGTGCAGAGGCGTATTGGGCATTGTGTTTGATTTCTAAAATCGTATATTGATGACAGGAAGTATGAGGAGATATACGCGCCGCAGGTTGAGGAGTTTTGCTACATAACGGACAACACATATAGAAGGGAAGAGGTGAGCTGCTCGCCCAGTTGCTGCTCCTTGCCTTGCTCTCGGTGCTCTGCTTGCCTTCCTGCTGCGCGTCTTGCGGCCCTGTCATGCCTGCCTGTGTTCCATACTTGCGGCGCACCGCATGCTCGCCAGGCGCGCAGGTGTGCCCCAAAGGGCACGCACATGCTGTGCGCTCATGTGGTGCGCGGCAGCCCCGATAATAGGGGTGAATGAGACAATTTGTGAGGGGCCAGGTGTGGTAGCACACTCCCCTTCACCTTGCAAAAATCGAACTCCGCAAGAAAAGAAAATGTGTGCATGTGTATGTGGAGTCTCCTTCGTTGACAAAGCATACTTCTGAAAATCACAAGGGATACTGTCATTTCTATGGCCGTGTTCCGCTACTCACCAGATGACTGCGCCGTTCAACTTTGAGGTCCTGACACTAAGACCTTTCTGACTCAGCTTCAGACGTGATTGCGACCAGATACATGCAACACGGGCCATGATTACACGTCCAAAAGAGTAATGTGAGAGGGAGAGAGCAAATGGCTACCCCACCTGTCTCACTCTGAATACAAGCTACATTGAAGCTCAGATACAGCAATGAGGAGGGTGGGTTGTCTCTGATTTGTTTTTGGATTTTTCAGAGGTGCATTGTGTTGTCAGATATTTCCTTTTTTTTATCTCTTTTCTTTTTCGTGAATCGCCTCCCTAAAGTTTCTGATACCAATCATAATGAATGTATGGGACCTGAAAACCAGCTATGATATGTTCCAGGACTTCTGCTCTTGATAGAAGCTCGTGTCCTTCGGGACATCCGATAAATTTGGAAAGACAAAGAAGGTTATCAGGCCCCCTGAGCAAGGATGGCATTAAAATGGAGAAACGGAACTGGGAAGGAGAGCGGTTTGTCCCGGCGAATGTATCAAGCCAGTTTTTGGGTCTAATGCTGTCAGGAGTGTGCTTGGAGTCGGGATACAATCGAGGACGCAACACGCCCTCCTTGAAGTTCGCGAACTTCCCAGGAGGGTGTGTTGTGCCCTTGAGTATATTCGGGAACATGACAATACACGCACACACACACAAAAAGGGGCTTGAACCAGGGAAGTAGTGCACTGCACCTATGCGTGTTTTTTGCGTGGTGTGTGCGGGTGGCTGCGCATCATAGATCCATGCACTGCGCACCACCATCGCAAGTATGTCGTGTTCACACTGCTAACCTTCTTGCCTCGCTGCCAGCTCGTCTCCGTGCCATATGGGCCAGTGCTTTCGCGACTGTTTTGCCACCTGCCGAGCCACGTGCTTGTTTTGCTGCTGTCTTTCTTGTTGCCCTGGTAGCTGCCATAATGCTGGCCTGCTGGGTTGTCTACCTTGTTGCCTCGCTGCCAGCTTGTCTCCGTGCTATCCATGGCAGTGCTTTGGCGACTGTTTTGCCACCTGCCGAGCGACATGCTTGTTTTGCTGCTGTCTGCCTTGTTGCCCTGATAGCCGCAATAATGCTGGCCTGCCGGGATGTCTACCTTGCTGCCTTGCCAGATGTCTAAGTGGCTCCATGCCAGCCTGCATGGTCGCGTTGCTTTGTTACTCTCTGCCTGCTTGCCGCCTGCTGAGCTATATGCTTGTTTTGCTGCTTTCGCCCTGCTTGCTGCCATAATGCTGGCCTGTTGGGATGTCTACCTTGTTGCCTTGCCTTATGTCTCACTGGCTGCTTGCCTGCCTGCATGGTTGCGTTGCTTTGTTACTCGCTGCCTGCTTGCCTGCCTGCAGTCCTTGCTGCAGAGGTCTCGTTGCCTTGCTATCTACACCGATGCATCATTGCCTTGGTGCCTGCAGGGCTGATAGCTTGCCTCGCTGCTGACTGCCTTGTTGCTTTGGTTCCTACCAAAAGTGGATTCTGCCCTGCATTCAGAAATTCAGCCCCGTGATATGTCTGTGAAAGTGTAATGAAAAAGTTTGTGCAATGAACCCAGGTCGTGAAGACAGTTGTCAACAATGCAAGTCCAGATGAGAATCAACCAGCTGATGATTATCAATAATCATATTCGTGACCAGATACCCAAGAGAAGAGGAGACATACACAGACGAGGTAGATGAGAGGGAGAATAGACTCAGAGTGGGAAGATAGAAACAATGCCCACTACTTCTTCGGGCTCCCTCGGCAATCGCCACCTCAATAATCAATATGAAGTAACCACAATGTGCCACGTGGCACGTCGAATCAGTCCCTCATCAGCGCTGGAGCAATGTCGACATGAAGACAATCAGCTAAGTATCCACGATCTCTCCACAGTCCTGATCCCTGCTGAATGACGATAATCAGAACGGCAACATAAGTCACATAGCTTCGCCTTGTCAACCAGTAGTTCACGTGGCAGCAGCCACGTCAGAGACAGTGCATAGCAGCTGCCATGTCAGCATGCCAAGAAGACAGGTGCAAGCCAGCCACCATGCCGGACCAGCAGCGCGTCGGCATAGACACAGTGCCGGCTCAGAGCCAGCGCTCCGCCAGCTTCGCAGCGCCGAGCCAGTCGTCGTCAACGCGTGAAGTCAGCGTCGACGTAAGACAGAATGAATGTCAAAGCCAGGGAGGTCAACGCTTAAACAGCATTGACTCGGGGTCTGGACCCCGGATGCTGCAACCTTCAGCCGTCCAGATCTTGATGCAAACAAAGGCCCAGATTGGCCTGAAACTGAATTCCTTTCGGCCTGGATGCTTGTCTGGGGGTACCTGCGCACAACAAGTGAGTGTATCCAACGAAGGGCCTGGGCGCGATACCTTTGACTCTACAGTTGACTTTGACCCTTGAGTTTCCTGGTTGCAGCGTTTGGTCACACAGCCAAACGCGACAGACTCAGGCCTGGGCGTGTCCTGGTCACACAGCCCGGCGCAGAACAACCTTGGTCTGCGTTGCCTGGGGCTGAGTTCTGGCCCCCAGACTACTTCTGAACAGGGTTACTGCATTTGTTTCCAACTCACTGTTTTCTTATGTTCTCTACCCTTTCCATCTCCAGCCGCATTGGCATTTTGAGGGTCTAAACAATTTCTGGGAACTTTGCTGCAATGCTTGCTTGTTTGTGTCCATGATTCCCACACATCTCCTGGGAAATTAGCTTCCGATCTTCGCCTGAATAAAATCCCCGGTCATTATCTGGACTGAAAGTTGTGCCAAATGCAGCTATAATGGCCGGGCGGACTTCAATTTTGCAGAGTGCTTACAAATGGAAGCAGTGTGGTGGTCTTTGCTATGGACAGTGAAGCACGCACTGCACGGTGCAAGTAGAAAAGCACTATGGACAGTGAAGCACAAGTAGAAAAGCACTGCACGGACGGCAAGAGTTTTGTGAGAGAAACTCTCGAACTGAAGACTGAGATGCTTTGCAATCCTCTACAATCACTTGCCTCGAATTCTGCAGGTTCTGGAGATGGAGAGATCTGTCCTGAAGAACTTGCGTTTCGAATTGACAACGCCAACCATCAAGAGCTTTCTTCGGTGAGTTTTTCCAAGTTGTGCGAGGCACCTAACATAATGCATGGTCTGTCCTCCTGGGGATCCCGGGTGGATATAGAAGTTGCTGGGTGGGCCTTCTGATCGTGCTGTGTGTCTGTGCCTCCGTGCGGAAAAAGGAAGGTTTGAACTTCCATTATGGGAGTTGAATTCCATTAGGGGAGTTGAGTTGCGCTTGTGCTGTCCGTGTGTCCTTGAGTCAAAAGGTGCATGGCAATGTGGTGAAAGAAAAAAGTTAAAAAAAGTTAAAAAGCCGGTGTCTCGAGAGTCTGTTGATCTCAATCCAAAGCCATTGGGTAAACCCTCCGAACAAAACTCTACAAATTGAATGGATTTGATTGTGTGGTTCAGTACCAATCTAGTGTGAAAGGGATAGGTGTGCATTGCATAGCTGGAAATGTCACTTGAGATGTTCGTAAATTTGCCGTGACTTCTTGTTTCATTTGGCATTTGTTAAATCACATGCCTTGTGCCGAGAAAAAACGGGCCGGCGCCTGTTCGTAAATCTGGGCCTCTTTTTACCGATCCAAATTCCTGCCTTGTGCCAAGAAAAATTGAACCGGCACCTGTTCGAAATATTTTCGTACTGCCTGGCTCCACCAGACAAACAGCCTGAACCTGTAAGTCACGTGCAGCCAGTTAGGTAATTGATTGCTGCTTGCCAAGCCTGAACCTGTAAGTCACAAGTGAGGTAAGCGATTGCACGGTTGTCACATGTTCATGCAAACAACCTGGCTTGTGAAGCCAAGTTCAAGGTTGATTTTGTAATTTCTGTATTTGTTGTTTGACCTTCATTCTGGGGTCGTTTTCATTCACAACTCGATGCATTTAACATACTCAGTAGAATCCAGGTGGTTACCAATGAAACTGTCGTACCGTCACACAGGCCATTGGCACCCTTGATGTACTTGATTGACGTAAATAAGCTCCGGCTTGAGGTAGGAGATGTAAGGGGGCGAGTGGCTTCAGAGGTCGGAAAACAAGTCACCCGATATTCTTATGCCCTTTACCTCTCTCCCGGAGGCATCTCATTTCCAAGAGGGAGGCATTCTCATTGAAGTCCTAAAAAGGCAGTTTGGCTTGACCAAGTCACTCGGTCCAAAGAATTGTGTTCACTATTCTAACATGCTCTTGGTGAGGCTTCCCCCGTTTAATGGATGTCCTAAAAAGGCAGTTTGGCTCGACCATCCTAACGTGCTGTTCATGATGCTATGCAGCTAGATGATCGGGCAGATATCGCGCATTGTATTAGCTCTTAATGGAAGCTTCTATCGTTTATCTCTGATTCTGAAGAGAAGCCTGAAATGACACTCAAACATTTCCCAAAAGGAGATTAAAGGATCTCTCTCTCTCTCTCTCTCTCTCTCTCTCTCTCTCTCTCTCTCTCTCTCTCTCT